TCGTCCACCAGAGCAAGTGATCGACCTCCATAGATTACGCTAGTTGGGACATGTGTTACGTAGGTTGCCGCGGCGAACGATGTTTGCCAAGGCTGGTAGCGATTAGAAAAAAACGAAGGGTGGTCAAGCTAAGACCTGGCTTGAGGGTATGAGACTAGGTCACATAGGCCCCGTTAGGCTTCCTGGTTGGGGACCTCGGGATGATGGTCACCGATGGTTAGCTACACTGTGTGATATGGCTGGGTGTCGCAAACAGTGGCGCTCGTGCATCCACTCGTTATTCTCCTAACCACTCTAAATGAATTCCCCACCTTCCGCTCGAATTTGCTTCAACATTCCAATCTACATTTTGCTCTTTTATCCAAATAGGCAACGAAAACCGGCGCACGAAAGTGCATGGTTAATGGTTGTACAAACTGAAAATCACCGGGCAACAGCTGCGCTCGAACACGGAAACACTTGCTGTTGAAATGTGATCACGGCGGGGGTGGGGGGAGCGCAACCTAAGCGCTGTGAACCACCACCACTAGTACTTCATTTCCAGCGGCTAAGCTGCTGGCATGGTAGTGTTACCTAGTTCGTGTGCTCACCTTGACTCATTGGCTAACTTTCTTTTTTGTAATCACCGCGTGGTATCGTATCGTGACTCATATGTAAAACTATTTGGATTAGTGGGCGCGTTCCTTGGCGGCTTTTATCCCACCATACAATTGTCATTGAAAGATAAAAGATGTCTTCTTACTTCCTTTTTTATTTATTGAATATACAAACGTACAATCAGCTTTCAGAAAGAGAGTTGCGGCCATACAAAGACTGCCTAGGAATCCCATGAAACGTTCATAGCTCAAAGTGCATTTCACCTCCTGTCAGCGTTCAACCCGTGATATTTGGAACTTGTTACCGGTCCTCGGGGTTTGACGTATGTATACTTCTAAAGAAAGAAGTGTGTGCGTCCGTGCCAAACAATAAAACCCAGTTTGTTAAGTTACTCTTTTCGAGCAGTTTAGCTAAGACACAGTTTAGAACGAAAATGAAATCCTGATTACTGTGCAATTTTAAACGAGCTTTGTGTTCATTTCGTTGTCTTCCAGAAATCGGGGAGGTAGCCGGCTGTGCAGAAGCGACCATTACTTGCACTTACCGAGCAATGCACGCGCGAGCCAGTGAGCTTTTTCCGGAAGACGTGCGACTGGCTCTTCGACCACAGGAGCTACCATTGTGACTTGAGTCAGTTTTGTCTATACCCAGCCTGCACACCGTTCTCCATCGCGCGCACTCTCTCTCACCTCACCTCATCCAATAAAAGGTGATACGAGTTGAATGATTATTCTTGTGGCCAACGTGTTGCCGCGAGAACACTTGATGCACTGTCCATATTTCGCTGAGAATGTTTCATTGAAGCGAAGCACATGCATTTGCCTTCTGTTTTACCGGTTTTGTCGTGACGTGCGTTTCTTGTGGCATTCTGGCCGTGGATAAGCGAAATTATTGAACCTTTCGTGGAAATAAGCAACCCTATTCGTGTGATAGGTGGTATATATTTTGGATTGTATTCAAATCCGCTGGGAGACTCCATGCAGATTCAGTTCAGTAATAAGAACAACTGAGTTCATTCCATTATTTTATTAATGTTAGCTCGAAGACGACCTTATCTGTCTGTAGAATCAAACCTGCGTCAAAAAGATCAACGGTACCAATTTAAAAAGAATACAGACTGACTGCGTTCCAGAACACGGCAACGCAACCGTTTTTGGCATGCGCTAAACCTAGAATGTATCAGGGAATCCTCCGCCATTCGGAAGACAACAGGTAACCATCGCTTGGTGCATGCAAACCACTGACAATTTTGGTTTTTTTTATCAAGAAAACGTGGTCGCACAGAGAAGTCTACTCTGGCGGCAGTGTCAGGTTATCATGAAGGAATGAGGTGACCAGTGGTTACCCACACGAACTCGATTTGCGCGAATAAACGCTCCTGACCACTGGGTCATACGGACAGACAGGCCACAGAACTATCAATCACGAGATTGGGTGAAGTAGACCGCATTAAACAAGTCCGCCCTCTGATGAATACGAGCATGCGACAAGATATCCAAGTGAGTACGCCTGACTTTATGTGGTTCGTCACTCCAATTCCCGGGGCTTAGGTTGCCGTCACTGAACAGCAGTTCCTCGTGACCATGGGGTTCCATCTCGTCTGTTGTTCATCACACAGCGGTGTGTAATAAAAAAGGAATACGACGATAAATAACCGTCTAGGTCGGTCTTTAGACCGTAACTAGTATCAATTTCCGGTTTGCAGTCGTTTGTGACAGTGAAGACGATTTCCAGGAAAGCATAGATTATACTTCATACGTTTAAGTTAAAAACATCGAACACTAACGAGCGGCAAAACTGTAAAAAAGAGAATGAGAAGAAACAAGGAAAAAGTTCCGGTGCTTGTCGCACATAGGAAAAAACGATGCACCTGTTTGTGATTGAGAAAACGGGCGACCACGAACGTGAACAGGAGTATGAACAATGGGGATGAGGCGTTTCGGCGTGCTGAACAACTCAGTCGAGAAAATATCCCTTTCAGAGGAATAGTATCATGTCCGTCTGATGTGTCTGGTTTTGAAGAAAAATATAAAAAGGAGCAAGAGATGATGTGGGCGGATGAAAACAGCGTTGGGAGAGCGAGAGAGAAAACTGGAACGGTTATGTGCACATTGAACCGGACGAACTATTTTCCTTGTCGAGTACACGAACTGAATCGCACTCTTTTTCATCTTCACTCCCGCTTCCACCGCCGGATGTTCCAAATAATAGAAAGATCGCGCTCAATCATCTTGCATAGACGAAACTGATGTTCTCCTCCGTAGTGAGGCCTGTCGATCGTTCATCAGTTCACACGCCAGTCACATTCCTCNCCCACTGGGTTTCAGAAACCTTCAATGCGTATTTCGAGAACAACGTTTTGGTTAACGGCGTTGGCTAAATGAGGGCAAAAGGAAGCGTCGAATAAGAAACATTCGCATTTTGTAAAACCTGCAATTAACCAAAATATGGATACATGAAACTAAGAGCTAATACCAAACGGGCTGAT